GGTTCTGATCAGAAGAACTGGCGAGATAGAAAATCCATGAGTTTGGATGAGTCCAAACAAGATCCTACCTCTACAGCTAGTCAGCAAACAAGGAGACATAGTCTGAGTGATCTACAACTTGAAAGGCAAAACTCTCATGAAAAAGGTTTGTTGGTTCTTACATGTAATTTAAAATAATGAGATGTCACTTATTATACTCATCTGCAGCTTCTGTATGTTGTTTACAGTGATGGACATGGGAATTTCTGGAGCTAGCATCTGGCAAATATCTTACATATTTACCAATCTTTAATTGCTTGTCAGTGTGGACCATCTTTGTGATTGCATACATGTATTGCACTTATGTGTATATTGTGCTTTATTTTTTAGGAAATAAGAGAGGTTTTGGGCTTCCAAAACCAGATGAACAGGTTGACATAGCAGAAAGGTGGGTACACTGTGGTTACACTCTAGTTTACTAATACAAAATACACTGTACATTTACTGGCAATCTAAATGTTGGCTTGCTTTCTCCTTTTGTTTATGATACCTTACCAGTTTTCATAATGATATTTCAACACATTCACTCAAATTGTTTCCTGATGTAAAAGTAGCTGTATGTTGTCAGTAATTGAGTTCATGTAGGTGTTTGGACATCTTGACTCATTCAGTGTATATTGTACTATAAGTTCCTGCAAGATGTTGGGGATATTATTGCTCATTTACACTGTAGATGTGAGCTCAACTTTTTACAACATGGGCAGTAACTCTGTGATCACAGTTCATTTGCAGAATGATGGATCTGATTTTGCTGTTATTCCTTTATTTACTACGTGTAACCTTTTCAGAACTGAGCATTTCAAGGAAGAGACAGTTGAGGTTCAAATGACACAAGAAGAGACTGAGGGTCAGTATTCTGCAATCAACTGCACATGTATAAGGGAAATGTATGATTAAGTAGCAACCTTTAGATTAGCAGTATTTGTATGTGTACCATGTACTCAGTGATTCTTAAGTCTCCTTTAAATATTTTTATTTTTAATTACTAGAATAGTGATGTGGTATTTTTAAAATGCTTGGACATTGAAATGTGCAATTTATGTTGGCCTTGAAAGAGTTTTAGTGGTTGACTTTTGGGAAAAGAAGTTTGAAGGACCACATTGTGTTCCTTTCTGCAGGTCTAAAAGGGTGGCAGCTGAGAGAAATTCAGGTATTTTGATGTTGGTTATTTCGTGTATCATTTATGTGTACTACACATGTAAGTATAATTTTAAAAAAAATGTTAAATCATAAACAGAAACATAGGTGAACAAGAAAAAAAAAAGAAAAAAAGAAACAAAAGAGAGCATCAGCAATTAACTGGCTGAGTTTCTTACAGTTGCAGGTTTACACTAAAATGTAATGGGAAGGAATACACAGGAATCAACCCAACAAGATCCATGAAATCTCTTACACTTACATTGTATCACTCTGTTCAATTACTCTTTTACACAGGCTGATACTGGATGTAAGATACACGCCAACAGAGAAAAGTGTGTTCTTACAATAACTGGTCACCCTCAGCAGTGCAAGGTATATGAATACACCACCCTGACCCATTACACCCTAAAATCAGTGTATATATTCTCCATGCTGTTCTTTATACATTTCCTAAGGTGCTGACAAGGAGAATTTAATGACCAATCAAAAGCTTCTTTTGTTGGTGATCATTTCCTTTATTCTCATGACCTTAATGTGTGATTCAGGGGGGATATTGTGAAGTGAAATTTGATGCTTATCACTCTCAGAGTTTAAAGGGTTAAAGTTTGTAACAAAAATGTTTTTCTACTATCCATCTTGATTAAAATCTATGCATTTAGGTTTTGATGCAGCACAAGTTTATAACTGAATTATTTTCTTAACGTATATTTTAGTAATTCAGCTTTGCAGCCACATGTACATGGTGTGATGATATTCAAACTGTTTACAATTCTTTAAATGAAAGCTTTGGTACAACTTTGTATCATTATCTGCATATGCCTTTGAACTAACCATTGAAATTTTATTTTTTATTGCCTTATTAGGTTGCAAAAAAGAAAGTTTACAGTGTCATTGCTGCCCTCCAAGAGCAGTTTGTGAGTACTTTGGTGATTTTTTTAGCCATTGCAAAACAAAAACTGATAGACTGTAGATACATAGTAATTCACAACACTACTTGATTTGATCTTGAATCAGGGTGCTCTTGTTCCACTGTCGGATGTAGTTCTTCAGCACCTCCAGTCAGATGGATGCAGCATCCTGGCTGATAGATTGGCATTTTTTTCTTTGGCAAGTGTTACGATGATTAATGGTAAGTTGAGAACATCTGTAGCACAAACATGTAGTTCATTTGTGTACAGAGTGTACATGTATGTTCTGGAAAAAAACTGAGCTCAGATCTGTTTGAGAATAATTATTCTGGCTCTGGGTCCAACCTTCTACCTCACTCCTTTCCTACATGTAATCTCTTTTAATGGCAGGGGTAGTTACAGCTGTATGCTATTCTCTAAATAATATAATAATCTACTGGACTTTTTACAAAAAAATGTTGTCCATTAGTGCTGGGCCTTACTTAAGTGTTTCTATCACACAAAGATGGGGTGTGGAAAATCTCCCCCTCTCCTCCCATGCTCTGGCCTCCTTTAGAGGCTCGTTAGGTTTTCAGTGTACAACAACTTTGCTAGCACAACAAAAAAAAATCCCCATTTGAGGGGGATGCACAACAAAAAAAAAATCCCCATTTGAGGGGGATTATACTCTCCATTAAATTTTGTAGCACAGTTTCTGTCAGCTCTCAGCTTTTGTGGAATTGTTATATACATTATTGTTGTTGTTTTTGTTGTTATGGTTTTCTTGGGATGACCACTGATGAACTCTTTTCCCTGTTCTAAGTATACTGTTGGTATGTTGTCCATGTATGCCATTTAAGCTCTCTTTACCTGTACATCTTAGGTAACAGTCTTTTTTCTGTCTTTGTTTAGACACTCAACTGTTTATATCTGGTCGTCGAAACTGTGTGAATCATGCAAAAGCACAGCTGGCTAAGATCAAGGTTATGGTAAGATAGTTAGTCCTTACATTACTTACTTAGGTTGATATGGAATAGGAACGAGTTCCTGTCACTATTCTGTGTCCTGACTGCGTAATATACCTTCTTTGCCCCAGTATATACTTTTTGCTTACGAACCACAAGACTGAACATTTATCAATATGTAAATATGTGTGGATTTTTATGGCACGTTCAAAACAGACCCACAAAGGGAAAGAAAGTTCAGGTAATAAAAAGAGAGTTAGATTTGAGAGACACTCAAGGCCTTTGTAAACCTGTAGATTTGTACCCAGCATACGTTGGACAATGGAGCCTTGTTTAGACAACCATCGTAGCATTATGAGCTTGTGGTTCTTGAAATGGGTGGTTAAATACATGTAATTAAAGTTATTAAAGTTGAAATAAGTAATTTAATGGACTTTCTCTTTTCCGGATCAGAAAAAAGTATTATAATAATAATCAGGTGCCCTGGTTAAAGGGCGTTCGTTTGGTGTGATTCCTTCCTACGTGCATGTCAAGAGCTCATCTGTAAGATCGTTCATCACCCATTCTGCGTGTGAGTTGTTTGGTTTTTTTTTTCCCTTCAAATTCGTTTTCGAATGTTGTACAGTTGAGGTATACCGATGATCCTGACGTAGCACGCCCCAGCCAAAAGGACAGCAGCGAAGAGAAGCATCAATTGGTAGAGGAACTTTTTGCGACACTAGAGCGAGGAGAGAACACAACAGGTCAAAGCTATCACACAGAGCAAGCTGGTGTCAGTGCGGAACAGGCTCCAACTAGAGAGGGCTTATCAAGAGAATTTATACTCAGTTGTGCCCTTTCACCAGTAGCTAGGCAACGCCCTGTTAATATCAGCCTGGACAGGACAGAAGACTGGGTCAGGGAGATCGTCTTGGGCGATGTGAGTAGACAAAGAATTTTGGAGTATCGAACCTTTGTGTTCTGAAATACTTAGAAATAATTCACGTTAAGTATTACTCAAACCAATGGCAGTAGGTCAAGATGGCCTTTTTGGGTAACTATGGTTAGCAGTGTGCGTCATTGCAGATTCTTTCAGTTAGTGCTCCATCCCGGCGGATCCACCACTCCTTCCACATTTTCGTATGGCGCAACGCTTCCTTAAAACAGAGCAGTGGTTGCTCGGGCGTTGTATTTCAGCAATCAATTGTGCTTCACACTCCGATTGCGAACTTGTCGCCCTTCACTGCTCTGGCGCTTCCGAGTGTTGTAGAACTACATGCAGCTTTCCCATATTACTCCTTATAATTTCTTTCCTGTCCGTAGGGAAGAAGAGGAGAACGGGACAGCCTTCATAAGCAGATACAGAGAAAGGGGTTTGGATCTCCTATGAACACGAACAACCTCCAAGATGGAACTGAAACGAGCACATCTTAAATAGTATTTTTACAGAAAACTGAATCTTTGCAAGAAGGCAATTGAACATAGTCATAAGGAACGTTGCGTTTAAGTGAGAAATATCTCCAGAGAAAAAGACTCGCATATCAATTGAATTTGTTGTTACGTTTGGAAGACAAGTTAGTGGTGTTTCATTTGAGAGGCCCACCTTTTTTTGTGGTGCTGGAAGGGGTGGGGTTACTGACTAATAGGGTTTGACTCAAGGATAGGCCATTATAAAGCTTTTGAAGACTGAACACTAATTGTTTCAAGGGTTATGATAACTCCTTGATACTCATGAGGATTCGTTATACTGGGAAAATTATTACACTAAAGAGAGATTTTTTTTTCAGTTTTCCACAGGATGAATATATAATATCTTTAATTTACTGAGGTTTCAATTTACTTTATTCCGTTATGATGCGAATAAAAATTTAAATACAACGTGTTGATCTGTTATTTATCCAAGTGGTTTATTGTGCTTTTTTCGGAATGTTACTAAGATCAAATTAAGAGATACATCGACGAAATAGTCCACCAAATTTTACCATTATGAACCAAGCTAATCCTTTCAATTCAGAGATTCCAAAATTTCGCTCTATCTAACATCGATTGCCTTTGAAAGGTGATACACAAGTCTTAAACAACTTCGCAACAATATTTCGATTATTTACCTTCGTATTACTAAGTGAAATTTACAACAAAAATATACAAATAAGTTTTGTGACAGCTTGAGTTTTAAATTGAGTGTACAAGGGACGAGGATGAAGCAGAAAATAAAAAAAAAAGGAGAAAATCCTGGATCACCTGCGTTACCTCCCCTACCCCAATGAAAAGCATCCCCTCGAGGGCGGAACGTCACACAATTTGGACGAGCAGAAATAACTGCGTCGAGAAAACCACAAATATTGGTAAGACAACCAAAAGGGAAAATAATGGAGGAGACGCCTACCGATTTGCAAATGTCGAGCTTGCGAAATTAAGGTCAAGTTTGAAAGACACTGACCAAAAAAACTTGCACATGAATCTTTCATGCAACAACCAAACGACATTGTAGCGTATGCGGCCATGTATGAAAATCTCATGTGTACCCCTACCCACCCAACCGAGGTGGGGTGGGGTCTCACTGGTTCGTAAAATAATAAAGACTTGGCCTTCCCCTTTTCATCCATCTTACTTTGACCTAGTTTAGCTCGACCGGCGTTATCCGGTGACTCTAATTGTTTACTTTACAAAAATATATCCTTATGTCTATACTGCTCTATAGCCCAATAAACGTCATTTGAATTTATTACCGAATCCTTTAGTCCATCTTGCGAATTTTAACTCAGTTGTGGGACAGTCAAATCTCTATAGGAGCTGCAAATCGGTCACCATTGTTAGTTTGTCAGCTTTGAATAGCTAGGTGGGGCGTACTTGCGCCTGAGATATTTCAAAATGTACAGCGGTAAACAACTAACCAAAGTGATGACCACCACTTTCCACAAAAATTCAGTTGATATGAGAAATTTTTCGTCTGAAAGGAAAAAATAAAGAACGTGAAGTAATTTACCAAATAAATTATACAATGAGCTCACGGACGAGTGAGAACCAGGCAATACAAGATAACATAAGAACTCATGAACATCGATGAGATTTTGGTCTAAATGGTTTCAAACATCACATAACTTCCGGTTTATCAAGCAAGAAACAGCAAGAATCTCCCAAGATGTGATTGCCCAGTGGTCTGTAGCAGGTTGTCTACTCACTTTTTTTTTTATCTCTTTGTCCTGGCTAAAATTTATCTCCTAAGTGGAGAGAGAAAATGCACTTACCCAATCCCAAATAAGCATGAGAGTCCCTGAGGCCCTCCCCGTAAAACTCACCGCGTTTCCCATTAAAAGGAGCTTTTGCGTACGAAAAGAGGGATACAAAACTTACCAAAGGTGCGTCTAAATATCGCAAGCGTCCCAACGTAAATTGCAAGACTGAAGACTTCAGCTAACAACATGAGCCAATGCCACGTTCGAATTGTAAGCGCCACCATCAGCAGCTCGGTGAGAATGAGTGCAGTGAAGGTAATGGTCACAACATGGATGAATTCCTGATCGAACAGAAGAATGCCGCCGAACATAATGATGCCACCTACAGAGAAAACAAAGCGAGGTCATCAGGCGCGCTTCAAGAGGAATAGCATCGGCGAAACACTTTCACTTCGCCGGTAACATGTATACAAGTAAATGTTGCGTCCTCTTAGTAGTCACGCAATGTTTTGTAATTGTGTGCTCCGGCACAAATTTGAAGTTCGATCCATTTTTATCCTTTCCCAACTTTTAAATTTGGAAGACTCCATAATGTCCCGCTTGTTTGAGGAGTCAGTGGCGTAATTATCTTGCTCTAAAAGGTACTAGAAGAGTTAAGATGTTTTGGATGGACAAGTAACAAATGTGGATTTGAGATCATGTAACGTGTCGCTGATTTAGTAAGTAACGAAACGAATTTTGCGAATGAACGGAATGACTGGTGCGAAAAACATCCTTTTTGTGGTTCAAAAGGACAAAACTACTACAGTACTGAGAAGTCATACCTTTGCCGACCATCCTTCCTAACCTAATTTCGCAGGTTATAAAATGTGAGTCTGTTCTACTTTTGTCAAGAAATAAGAATGACCATCCTTATGTTACGGTGGGGACTCCATTCGTGAGTGAGCTACACTTACCTTGGTATATACTGATCAGAACCCAAATAAAGAAAGTCTTGTACGAAAGTGACCTTCCCTATGGATACCAAGACGAAAAATAAAATTGCGTCAACAATATCCGATCATAAACGAAAAGCTGTGATTGTAATTTAATAGTTTTACCAACCTTTGCTAAATCCTTGTATAGCTCGGGGTAGATTAATGCGATGTCAGATGGGACATCTTCGTCCAACACAAGAGAAAATACTGGAAACATAGTATATACGGTACCGTACCTATTGGAGTAAGAGGTGATTAGCCGGCGGAAACTCATCCTAACTTAACGTAACGGTGCAACGTAGAAGTTAAGGGGAATGAATCGCCACAGCTTACTTAGGTTTTGGTAACATGGAGCGACTAAAAGCTCTGCTACTCCCCCATAGAGGATACTAATCCGTGGTGAGAAGCCAAGTACTCAGACAGCTTGACCGAGTAGTTGCCATTATCCATTACTACCTCAAGATGGAGAGAGTCGCGCGGCACGAGGACACCACCCTGGACCAAACGATCCACAGTTCAACACCTCCCACAAATTGCTGCACGCCTAACAATTTCAACCAGTGCTGCAAACAATGTTCACACTCTAAAAAATAAGCGCTTTCCAGGCATGACAGGCACTATTGTAGTAAATCTTACCCAATCATCAAATATCCCGAGAAAAGCGAGACTGACGCAAAATAAAACACACTAGAAAAAACTGCCTGCAAGATAAAGAGGAAAAAAAAGTTAATACTATTTAAAACATCAGCTCTCGACGACAAGAAGTCTTAACGAGAAGATTCCGTCATTAAGTCAATTGGAGTACTCTGTCACACGCCTTTTCCCACTACCAAGATTTGAAATGAAAAAACTCTGATGAGGAAACTAAATGCAGTGTCACTATACCAAAAGGCAGATTTTGAACGGCAACCTAGTCCCTAGATGACCTCTCATGCTTCACTGTCCGCGTGAAGTCTGAGAAAGTTGTCTGTCGATATTACGTCAAAGCTTACAACAGAGCACAGGTTTAACCGACCTGAGAACCTCTTAAAGCAAAGCTGAGTAAGCGGAAGTTTTCGATACAAGGAAATCGTGTCTTGATTTGTCTTAATGTCACTGAGTAATCATTTACCTGCATCACAGAGATGATCAGGCCTCTGTGAATCACAAATTGACTTAGAGCTGCCGATCGCTTGTAACTACGAAGCAAAGGAAAACAAAATCATGATTGATAAAAAATAATTATTACGTACATTTTCACAACGACTGGAGATTTAGGCCACTCCTGGATTGATAGAGGTAAAATTCAAACTGCACACCGCCGATCAAAAGATTAAAACGGTAAGTCAGCGCAAATATTCGAGATAGCCAGGGAAAATTACAAGTGAAAAAAACAGGTCAACACAAACAAACGAACAAACAAAAACAAACAAACAAACAAACAAAAACAAATAGGAAAAGAAAATAAAGGAAACAAAGTAGACTGCCTAAAACCCGGGAAATTGTTAGTGACCAGTTCTGGAATGTTTGAGAAATTGAATTTGGTATTCCAAACAAACTACACAGAGAGGCGAGGCAAAACTGATACAGCTCCAGTTTCAACACTTGCTGTAGAGAAAACAAAACCTTTTTGATTACCTGTTTCGACCATGCCACACCAACAATCTTCCAACATATCTAAACTGTGAAATGGAGAAATCCGCTGCAAGAGAGGCTTGTCGGCCTTCCTGTGGGCATCAAAATAACGATTGGTCCAAACAACAAAAAATAAGAATTAAATAAATAATCAGTGGAACTCCATGTTATTTTCTCATGGCTTGGTGGAGAGAATTCAAACATTTTCAGCGTCTCCCAGTGCAATGTTTGCCCTCTTGCCATACAAAACAAATTCCTCGACTTTTTATGTTGAGGTACTTTTATTTTGAAGTTATATCATTAATATTTCGCTCACTTTTCCTTCGATGCCCACTCCGGCATCCGCTGCCTGGATCATACTGACGTCATTTCCGCCGTCGCCTAAGAAAATCAAAGTTTAAAGATTTGTACCAGAAGGAGAGCTACTGTAGAAAAAAGAGTGAAGCCCCTTCCCGTTAAAACAGAGGAAAGACCGTTCTCTGCAGTTGAAAGAGATCGTCTACAACATCTCTAGATGTTGCAGAAAAAAGGCAATTTACAAAGGGAAGTATGAAATTTCAAAGAGACAGAGGGGCTACCGAGTTCACGTCTCACTAATCTTTCAACCTCTTACACCACTGGTTAAACTCTTACCTATTGCGCATGTCCTCTTGCCGGTATGTTTCTTGAGTAATCTGACTATATCCGCCTTCTGTTGAGGTGAGCAGCGGCAACACACCACAACAGGACACTGACAGGCCAGTTCCATGAACTCTTGCTCGTAATGATGTATACAGACCTAAAAAATTGAAAAGGTGTCAAACCCCCTTTTATGTTGAAACCTGTTTTGGCAAAAGCTGTTCAAGGAGAAAGGACGTTTGCTTAATACAAATATAACTATTCTGGAAACAAAACCGAGCCATTTCGCCGTACAGCACATTTAGCACAATATTGTAATTTTACTGAGTAATTTTACTGAGTAATTTTACTGGTTGTAATTTAGTTTTTAATAATATTGTAATGCGCTTTTGAGTATTTTTATAGAAAAAGCGCAATATAAGTATTAAATATTATTATTATTATTATTTAATCCGATATATATGCTGTGGTGCAGTTCATTTGATCTGTCGTATGTTCTGTTGTGCATTTCATTTAATCTGCTGTATAATCTGTTGTGCAATTCATTTAATACGTTGCATATTCTGTTGTGCAGTTCATTCAGTCCCTGATGTTAAAAGATAAAAAAACTGGACGAAATAAGAAGATCTTGGCGGAAAAGGATTTCATGGTTACTGAGAGGGATTCCCTCAGAACGAGTGTAACAAAAAAAACTCATAGACTTTAACACAGCGCTTCTAAGTTGGAGATTGCAAACTGTTAGCAGCATCCCTGCAGCATATCTAGAGATTTATTAATTGAACGAGATGTTGAAGCAAAGATTGTATACTTCAGTGTTATACATAAACTGCAATTTACATATGGCAGAACACAACATTTTCCTCGAGGAGTTTTGTAGAGAATATTTGTCATTACTGGAGTGAAAAATGAGTGAAAATCCTCAGCCTCGCTTTCAAGTCTCTCCGAACGAGGCTATGAAAACCTCACCTCCAAAGAATCTCCTTTGATTATCAACGCGCAGTCATTCTTTCTCCTTAATGAATTGAGCTCCAAATGTGCTTCAGAACGATTGCTTATCTAAAAACAGAAAAAAAATAAAATCGAATTACCCTGAGGCTTCTTCCTCCGCTATTATTTTTAATTTAATCAGCAGAAAAAGTAGCGTCACAAAGAATACACAGAAACTTTTATTCAGGGAACAGTTCCATTCAAGGGTGAAACACTGTGGTCCTGTCAACAGCAATGTGCTCCACTGGTCAATGGAATGTTTCTACCCTTAACGGTGACTGCGGAATGCAAGATTTATTGTACAACCGCTACGTTTCTTCTCGTCATTAAAGGAACACCTCTACCATACTTTTCTTAGCCCCAAGGGTGCATGTTTCCTAAATAGAGGTTCCATCGTATGCATGTAGACATCACAAGGTTCACCAGTAAATCGAAAAACCAAAGCCTATCAAAAATGCTCGAAAATGCAAAATCCCAAACTAACCTGTTTAAATGTATAGATAGTTTGATTTCTCGCTACAAGCCGTGAACTCTGGGCGATACAAGTGGCTGTCTCCAGTTTGTCGCCTGTTAACATCCATATCTGAAAATAAATTACGAAACGAACGCATGCGTTTAAAACTATTTTTTCAAAAGGCACTTGGTCCGTCGCTCTACCAGTCAGTCAGTCAGTTGATCTGTCAGTCAGTCAGTCCGAGTCGTTCTGTCTGTCGGTCAGTAAGTCAGTCACTCAGTCAGTTGGTCCATCTTTCTGTCTGTCAGTCAGTCGCTTTAGCTCGCTTCAATTGCTAAAAATAAGAATAACCAGTTTCAAACATTAATATCCCGGCATAATCTTTGAACTGTGAATCAGCAGTCTTAAAAGTCAATTGAGACCCACATCTATGCTAGAGGATGTTCGAATAGACAAACAACTCTCTGTGATTAAGTCAAGCGATGTAAGACAGTTCTTTGATTCTCCTACAAGTCACGTTACCTTGACGCCAGCATTCCGAAGCATCTCAAGGGTAGGACGAACATCAACCTGCAAAATAAAACCAACGGCCATTAGCTTTCAAACACCGAGTAAATGACCAATCAAATAAAACCTCAAAAAGAGACACAGCTTGTCAATAATAAATGACGAAATTCTTCATTTAATTTTCGATGTACTCTACAAGTTATTACCTGCAGTTTATCCTCGACTCCGGTTAAACAGAGTAACTCTAAGTCGTGCTCTAAACTTCTTTGCACATCCATAACCTGCAAAATTGATACGATTGCCTCAAAATCAGATAACTCAACGACAATGGCAAATATTGCGCGCTCTAGCAGACAAAACAAAGTCCACTATTCTTCATTGTGAAAGGTTATGAGACTTGATCCGTACTGCGCAACAAAAGGAGAAGTTAAAAATAAAAATGTTGCATCCTTTATAAAAGCAGGTGTCATATTGGCACCATAATGGCTGCCTCTCTACCTTAGCCCCTTTCCTTGGCCCGAAGGAGGTGGTTGTGGTGAGGTTCAACTTGACATGCACTGATGATCACTGTCGCTTATAGAAACATTAGCATACAAATAGATTTTACCTTCGATGCTCGGTCAGAAATGTTTAGTTTGGCTTGATTGTATCGGTGCTGTGAAAAAAAACGAAAACATTTCAAAATATAACCATTTCTAAGAAGAGTAAAAATGAGAACAACACATTCAACACACTGCGTCAGAAAATGAATTGCACTAAAGCTTGAGACTGTAAGGTTGCAATTTTGAGACCATCAAAAATACTTCAAGGAAGTAAAACACAAAACGAAGGCAAACAAGAAAACACCTTTCAGGGTAATTAGTCGCATATAGGCATATGTAGGTACAAACCTCAAAGTCTTGATACTGTTCTTCAGTCAGGACTTTCTTGGCAACCACAAGAGTTCTGAGGCCTTCACGTGCCATGTTACCGCACTGAGAAGAACCAAAACAAAAAGTTAGACACACTCGTGAAACGGTCAACCAGAGGGACTGAGTAGCAAAGTAACCGGAGCTCGTCCCAGTGTCCTTAGCATAGAGTGACCAAGAATACTGCAACTGCTCTTGGATGGGAAGTATGTCCATCGAATGTTACCCAACCCCTTGCATTTTTTCAGATTTCCCCAACAACTCGCCGAGACCCACTTACACTCCTGAGCGGTGAGGGAAACTTCAATAGGTAAATTGTTTTGTCCAAGAAAAAAACGCAACATGACACGCCAGGCCTTAAACCTAATCTTTTTCACCCGGAATTCAGCGCGCAAGCGTTTAGGCAACCAAGTCCCCCATGAATCAAGTTAGTAAAGGATAAGGAAAACACGCTTAACGCATATCAACCAACCCTCTTAAGAAACGTTACTAATTGCTGTGTTTTTGGTCAAGAATAGGTGTGGTAAACCTGAGGTTTGTCAAGAGAGAGGTTCGCATATCACGGTGACTCAAGAAGACTGAAACATAAACAACCCCTTTTTACAAACAAAACCTTTTCCTCCTGTGTGTAAATTACGAGGAGCTCCTTACTATACAGTACCTCCTCTTCAAGCCAGTCGTTATATTGTACAATGGAACTCATGACTGTGTCTGCGCCTTTCATGTAGAAGGTTATTTCTCCCGTCGCCGTATCCTACAGGGACACCAACAGAGAATAAACTGAAAGCTTCATTCGGTAAATAGTTCATTTTACTGTTGTGTGCTTGGTTGCCAAGCCTTTGAACAGGAGTGAGGCTGAGGTTGACCTTGTTTTGCAAATAATTTGTTATCGTGCTAACTGGATACTTGTTTCTATCACAACAAGGTCATCTTGAGCCTCCTTCCAAATCAAAGGCTTGGCAACTAAGTACACAACTGTAAAATGGCCTATTGCAGTGGGCCCTATTCACAATGGAGACAGTTTTTATGAGCTTGTAGAACAACAAATGCCATTTGAAGTTAACGATGAAATGGTACAAAATCTTCCATTCTGGATGGTAAATTGTACAATTTGACATCTAAAACAATTGATTCAAGTAGCTTTTGGTTTTGCCCTGATGCATAACTTAATCACTAGCATTATTAGTTCAGTTTATTAGCTTACAACAAATTTACCAAAGAATAACTAATTAGCAAAATATCAGCGAGGCAAGGTAACCCAACGAAGCCAAAACAAAACAATATTAACAATTTCGCCATCGGCATCGACAAAATCATACCATGTGTCAGTGATGGAAAACCTTTCAATAAATAGAAAGAGCAAAGAAAAAGAGAACTGACATTTTGCAAGCCGTGGGAAAAACAGTATTGTTAAAAACTTTAAGTAAGGGGGCAATCTAAGGGTAAGTAAGAGTTGTAAAAAAAAAAGTAGCGAATCCATAGTCATCAACGTTGTTATAATTACCCTGAGAATAATACCCATCCGTTTGGTTTCTGAAGTGAATGGAAAAATCTGCAGGATGTTAAACACGAGTATCTGACCATATGGAGTCTTCAGGTGCATGCTCGACAAATCTCTATGAACCAGTGTCAGTCCAACGCTCTCCGTCCACGTGACCAAGGCAACCTGTGTCATTAACGATTGACGCAAAAATTAAAACTTCCTCTAAAACAAGGTCTATGAGTTTCCCGGAGATAAAGGGAACTGACATATCCTACCAACAAACAATAGGATTAGCAAAAAGAACTCTTAGTGGAGCAGTTATAAACGAGTATGATCTGGTGCGGCTGAGATTCGGAAAATAGAAGACACGATGAAAAAATAAAACTCAAAATTTTGTATATTTTCGCATCTGTATTAAGTTGAAATTAGGCCAGATTTAGCCTAGCAAGTTTTCCTCCCGGCTTTGCATACCACTTTGTCAAGGAGAAGTTTGTCGCTGCGTGACAACTTGTGACTAAATAATTATTGTCACGGATATGTTGTTGGAGTAGAATTTCTCTTAGCGCTGTGCTCCAGGGAGAATTACCAAGTGCCCAAAGTGCTCTTGCCTCGGAAATCTGGGCAATATAACTCCTTAAAACTTCTATAAAAACATGAACAAAGTCGCCCAAAGTTTTTTTTCAAGTCATTTGCAGAGAAAATCTCGTCATTATGTACCAATGATAGAAAACTGCCTCGTCAGAGTTTGGACCTGGTCATTACACAAGGAAACACTTGTCATTGCAACTACACCTTTAACTACAGTGGTCATGTACCTCATCTGGACTGGATGCCTGATATTTCACATCTGTTTCATCCCTAGCAGCCCCTCCATCTAAGTCACTGTCTTCGCTGGTCACGCTATCCAAACGCACTCTAGCACTCTGGCGGCTGTTTTCGGTCTCGTCCGTAACTGGCGTGACATTGTGGCATAACGCAAGTGCCTTGACAGCTTCGTGAGTACGCGTGACAACCGTGCGACGCACCTTAAAGGGAAACAAAGTCTTTTAGCTTGGTCGAGGGCTACACTACGAATACTGCATGCTCACAAGTCATCCATCAGTGAAATAAATGAAAAAAAAACTAAGAAATTTAAAAGGAGATAGAAGAGAACTGGAAAGAG